CTGGCTGCCTGCTGCTTTTCCACCATGAGTAGAAGCAGCCTGAGGCCCGTGCCAGATGCAGTTGTCCTGTCCCAGAATCGTAAGCCAAATAAACCTCTTTCCTTTATAAATTACCCAGTCTCAGGTATTCTGTTACAGCAACACAAAATGGACTCAAATAAGCTGGAATGAGATGATATTTCACTGTGGTTTTGATTTGCATTTCCCTGATGATTAGTGGTGTTAAGCACTTTTTCATATACCTATTGGCCATTTGTATGTCTTCTTTTGAAAAATATCTATTCAGCTCATTTGCCCATTTTTAAATCAATTTTTTGTTGTTGTTGTTGAGTTGTTTGAATTCCTTGTATATTCTGGATATTAATCCCTTGTCGGATACATAGTTTACAAATGTTTTCTCCAATTTTGCAGGCTGCCTCTTCACTGTGTTGACTCTTTCCTTTGCTGTGCAGGTTTTTAGTTTGATATTATCCCATTTGTCTATTTTTGCTTTTATTGCCTGTGCTTTGGAAGTCTTCTCCATAAAGTCTTTGCCCAGACCAACGTCCTAAAGTGTTTCCCCTGTTGTCTTCTAGTAGTTTCATGGTATGGGGTCTTACATTTATGTCTTTAATACATTTTGAGATGACTTTTGTATATGGTGAGAGACAGGGTCTAGTTTCATTCTTCTGCATATGGATATCCAGTTTTCCCGGCACTATTTATTGAAGGGAGTGTCCTTTCCCCAGTGAATATTCTTGGCACCTCTGTTGAAAATCAGTTGGCTATAAGTAGGTGGCTTTATTTCTGAGTTGTCTATTCTCTTCTATTGATTTATGTGTCTGTTTTATGCCAGTACCATGCTGTTTTGGTTACTGTAGCTTTGTTGTATATTTTGAAGTCAGGTAGTGTGATGCCTCCAGCTTTATTCCTTTTGCTCAGGATTGCTTTGGCTATTTGGGTCTTTCATAGTTCCATATGAATTTTAGGATTATTTTTTCTATTTCTGAGAAAAAGATCATTGGTATTTTTACAGGGATTGCACTGAATCTATAGATCCCTACTGGTAGTATGGTTATTTTCACATTAATTCTTCCAATTCATGAACATGAGATGTCTTTCCATTTCTTTGTGTCCTCTTCAATTTCTTTCATCAATCTTTTATAGTTTTCCTTGTAGACATCTTTCACCTCCTTGGTTAAATTTATTTCTAGGTATATTATTTTTTTGTCACTACTGTAAATGGGATTGCTTTCTTGATTTCTTTTCAGCTAGCTCCTTATTGGTGTATAGAAACACTGCTGATATTTCTATGTTGATTTGTATCCTACAATTTTACTGAATTCACTTATCAGTTCTAAGAGTTTTTTAGTGGAGCTTTTAGGATTTTCTCTACATAAAATCATGTCATTTGCAAATAGCAACAATCTGACTTCATTCCAGTTTGGATGGCCTTTATTTATTTCTCTTGCCTAATTGTCCTGGCTAGGACTCCCTGATGATTTCATTGTGCACGCTGGGCTGAGAACCACTGAGCTAGGGAATTACTAGAGTTTACAAAGCTCCAAATTGGGTCCACAAAGATAACTTGAACTCCAATTTTTGGAGCACATGCTATGGTGTCAATACATCATTTGAACTATCTTGAAAACACGGTGGTCTGGCTCCTGCAGACCCAGCTAGCTCATATGCTGCCATCACCCTCTTCCTCACTGCCTTCCAGCCACCCTGGCCACCTTTCAGTCCCTTGGATGTACCCAACCAGTGCCAGTCTCAAGGCTTTTGTATTCACTCTCTTCTGCCTGGAATACTCATCCATCTCATCCATATGTGGCTACCTTGCAACCGTTAAGGGAAGTCTTCCCTAACCACACTATCTTATTGCCCCTCACCCCCATCTCTTCTACTCTATTTTTATTTTCTTTTTTAGTATCCACATCATCTGAAATTAGCTTATTTGTTTACAGTCTCTTCCCATTATAACAATGTGAATTCCTAGTGTCCTTATTCACAAGTATCTTTTGTGCCTGGTATACAGAAGGTGGTCAATAAGTAAATTATTGTTAGTGTGCCATTGCTGTTGTCAATATAGTTTGTTGTTAGTTTTTAGGTTGGTTCTATAGAATACAAAAATTTGGGGCTGGCCCGCTGGCACACTGAAGAGTGCGCCGCTTGGGAGCGTGGCGGCACTCCTGCCAAGGGTTCAGATCCCAGGTGGAGACCGGTTCCCGCTCACTGGCTGAGCGCGGTGCGGGCACGACACCGAGGGTTGCGATACTCCTGCCAAGGGTTCAGATCCCAGGTGGAGACCGGTTCCCGCTCACTGGCTGAGCGCGGTGTGGGCACGACACCGAGGGTTGCGATCCCGTTGCTGGTCCCTGGTACGGGCACAACACAGAGGGTTGCGATCCCGTTACCGGTCAGTAAAAAAGACAAAAAGGAAAAAAAGAAAGAATACAAAAATTTGTATGAGGGCATTTCAAAAAGTTTGTGGAAAAATAGAATTAAAAGGCTGGTCCCCGGTACGGGCACAACACAGAGGGTTGCGATCCCGTTACCGGTCAGTAAAAAAGACAAAAAGGAAAAAAAAAAAAGAATACAAAAATTTGTATGAGGGCATTTCAAAAAGTTTGTGGAAAAATAGAATTAAAAGATAATATGAAACTTTCCATGAACACTTTGAAGAACCCTCATATTTGTATCAACAGAATATAAGCTCTGCCGAGCAAGAAATTTGTCTTTTGTTCAATGCTGTATCCCTAGAGCCTAGAAAAATGCCTGGCATACAGGCACTCATATTTGCTAGATGAAGAGTATTCTGGGCCTTTGATTTTCTAATAATTAGACTTGATAAAGTCTATGTACTAGGATAATTCACTCCCTTATTACTAACACAGAGTATCTACAATCTCACCTCAATCGACTGCCAATGTCAATTTAATTGTATGGTAATACTTCCTTATCACAGTTATTTTTCCACTGGAAAACTGATATAGGTGGAATAGGTGGGTGGGCCCCAGGTATTATCTATACCTAAAATCTGTAATCAAAAAACACTTTAGGTATGATATATTTAATGCCATGAAAAGTTTATCTAGCAGCTCAGAGCATTTAACTACAGTTTGCTCATAAAACTTAGTTTTTTTTCTGTATTATATCAAATTGGTTTTCTAGCAAACACAATGAATTTTAACCACCATTTATACAAAATTCCACGTGCAGTATAAATTTCAGTCCTGCTCTTTAAAACTTAATAGGCAGTCATTTATTATAAATCATCTCTATCTTTTAGTTAGCTTAATACTAAAACAAATGGTCTTACCCTATGGCACTAGCAAGATCTTCCCAATCTATTTCATTAGCATCTTCCACATTTATTTTATACAACCTATGAGAAAAAATAAAAATAAAAATTTGAAGCAAAAATCAGTGTGGTGAACAATTTCATGGACTCTGGAAGACACCAGCGCTTTCACCCCCATTCCAGCTCCCTCACCACATACTTCCAGAGAGGTTGGCATCCTAGCCCAAGGTTAGTCCAAGGTCACTCTGTTAGTGAACTACAGAGATGGGCTGAGATGCCATCTCTCCTCCTTCTGAGACCTTTTTGTCTTCCACCAAACCATGTCGCTTTGTCACTGTAAAAAACAGACTTCACCATTCAACACAGATACATAGTAACAATGTATCTGTACTCAGCACTTACTAAGTGACAAACACTGTGTTAAGACCTTTTTGTGCACTAATTCATTTACAGTAACCCTCAAGGTAAGAGGGATTAGCCCCATTCTATAGACAAAGAAATGGGGCAGCGAGACTGAGTTGCTGGCTCAAGATTTCATGACTAAAAGGTGGTGCCAACACTGGAACCCAGACCTGCTTGACACAAGATGCTCTCTTTGGACCTGCAAGTCTACGCTGTCTCACTAGCAGGGGAAGAAAAGGTGGAGGTGTAAGCGGCCAGACTAGTATACGTAATCAGGAAGCTCACAAGTGGACTTAAAGTAGGGCTCATGACAGAGGGAGGATGAACTTGGACAGGGTGGCCAGATTCCAAAGGTTTCTGCTATTCTTTGTTGTTATTCTGCCAACATAAGCCTAAGTCCACTAAACTCACAGGCTTCATAAATCAGGCCCATATCTCCCCTGCCCTTGTAACACTTCAAACACTTCAGGGAGGACACTGCATGGACCAGGAACTCAAGGACCAAGCAACAGTAACACCAACAAACTTATGCCGGAGAGCAGTTAGGGCTCTGTCTGAATTATTTACCTCCATTTCCAATGAATGCAAATAATATATATAGATATATATTATTTTTATATACATATATGAAAAGCTTCAAAGACTAAAGTAACTACATATATTGAGTACTTTGTACGTTGTACACGCATTACTCATTTTATCCTCCCAATAACACTAAGAGGTAGGTACTATTACTATCATCCTCATTTAGGATGAGTAAACTGAAACTTAGAAAGGTAGGTCACATGCCCACAGTAATACATGTATAAGCTGCTGGAACCTGTAGCAGGTGCTGGAATCTGCAGAAAATGCTAGAACCTGTAGAAAGGGATTTGAACCCTGGCAATATCACTGCAGACTCTGCTGTGTTAACAACTACTCTTTGGCTAGAGAGAAAAACAGTTAAAGTAGCATCAATTTCTACTTTTGTACCTTTCAATAAGGTTGATTTTGGACTGCAGGGCATTAACTCCACGGTATATGTCCCGACCATTAGTCATCCTCTTGGTTAGAATTTCTGTCCTACATTAAAAGAAAGAAAAATATAGTTGACCTTCAGCGGTAAAGTTTCCTTTAAAATTTCCTATATCTTCCTCATCTAAATTGCTCTCATTCAGAACCAATTTCTAACTTTTCTACTCATCACTGCTAATATTTATCACCATCAAGAATATACCTATTTAGGGGCCGGCCCGGTGGCGCACTGCTACAGTGCGCCACTTGGGAAGTGCAGCGGCGCTCCCGCCGAGGGTTCGGATCCCACATACAGACCGGCCGCTCACTGGCTGAGCATGGTGCTGACAACACCAAGCCAAGGGTTGAGATCCCCTTACCGGTCATCTTTTTAAAAAAAAAGGGGCAGGGAAAAAAAAAAAAAACCTTTTTTAAAAAAAAAGGGGGAAGGCAAAAAAAAAAAAAAAAAAAAAAAAAAAAAAAAAAAAAAAAAGAATATACCTATTTAAAAAAAAAGTGGGAAGGCATAAATAAAATAACGGAAAGTTGATGGTTACTGAAATTGGATGACATGGGGCTGGCCAGTTGGCTCAGTTGCTTAGAGTGAGGTGTTATAGCACCAAGATCAAGGGTGTGGATTCCTATACCGGCCAGCCACCAAAAACAAACTAGATGATGGATACAAGGAGTTATATGTTGGTGTTATAAAATTTTCATAATAAAAAGTTTAAAAAAGGGAGAAAAAAACAATAAGCCCATTAGCAGGTGCTAAAGGACACTATGTCAGATCAATTTATTTTTGATTGTTTATAAAACAGATGAACATTGCTCTTATTACCATTCCCAGCTACTGGAACACCAAATACGACAAATTCAGTAGTGATAAGTGATTTGATGATTCGTTTAATACCCAAAGCTAATGGCTGGGGGAAAGGGCTGACTGAAGTTCCTTGTGAGAGCAGTGACCCCATTATAAATATTTAAAAAGTACTTATTTTGAAAAGCAAAATTTGTCACAATCTTATCAGTGGATTAGCTGTTATATTTACACTGCTGATAATGTGGAGGAAAACTAAGGAGAACATGAACTAAAGATGCAGTCACTGTTGCTATACTGAGACTGTGTCAGCAAGAACTCGCAAGGCTTTACCACAAACCACAGGCATCCTATGGGGTTGCCTAGGAGACGGGGAGGTATGGGAGGGGTTTACAGCTGGCTAAAACATATATAAAGCAAGGTTGCAGAGAATAAAGTTGCTTAGTGTGTGCGCTAAGTCCCAGAACTTTGTGTCTGGTATTCTGGTTGCCCACCTCCCTAGGTGGCAGCCCTAATCTCACGCATGTCCTGAGCAACTCACCTTTGCTGCACTCTCTTGGAAGGGCTGTGTGTTTTACACTAGTCCTGTTACCTGAGGGGCTGTGTGCTACACAACTCCCCCAGGGCTAAGAGAAGCATGCAATAATGAAGATACAAGGCACACATGCAGATAATCGACAATTCTGTTCCTACGAACAGCCATTAGTGTTTACAGGTTTGAAATGTATCACTTGATTGTTACCTACCTGAGGGGCTGTGTGCTACACAACTCCCCCAGGGCTAAGAGAAGCATGCAATAATGAAGATACAAGGCACACATGCAGATAATCGACCATTCTGTTCCTACGAACAGCCATTAGTGTTTACAGGTTTGAAATGTATCACTTGATTGTTACACAAGATAAATATATGTTCAGGGCTGAAGTTTCCTATTTTTCTCTTCAAATTAAAAAATTTGCATGTAAATTGCATGGGATCTTAATTATGTTGATTCTGAAGTAGTACTACCCTTAATCATTTCCCCTTTTTAACACAGATATGTCATCTTCCATTTGAGGCTATAACACACTCCCTCCCTTCTATAGCCTAAAATATAGGGGTAGAAAGGACTCTGCTTCTTCCACATTATACAATCTGCACCCCCTATCCCCCTCACATTATCTGTTCTTTAGAGTTTATTTCCCTGAGTGTAGTCTTCTATTTAAATAAACATATTTTCTACAACAGAATTGTGAGGTACATAAACAGAATAATCTAAGAGTCTGCTTTCAACATAAATAAATATGCCTACTCTGGATTTCATTCTTATTTGACCTTCAGGGATCACTGAACACCCTTTGTGCAGCAGGTGGGGTGGGGGTCATGAGCATGCAGAACCGCTGCTTCAAGGAGTCACATTGCAGCTAGACATCCAATTCAGAGACCCTTCAGGGCTTGGCAAAGCTACATCAGGCACAGAATGTGCAGCAAGATCAGGACTAAACCTACCTATCTCTATGTGACTGCTGTAGCTAAGAGGATGACTGCTTTACTTCAGAGGAAGACAGAGGAACTGATGAATTAGAAGGCAAAATAAAAAAAGGCAGAGCTTTTACTGATCACTATGTTCATGATTCCTCTTCTGAACATTAGTTGCATATCATTTTTAAAATTCTGCAAACAGGTAACTACCTTGTTTTGCTAAAGACTTAGAAAGACACAGAATAAAGAAATCAGAAGTCAATAATCAGTATTAAAAAAGATATTTATGAGGAAGCCATACACTCTTCACTGAATTAATTAGTTAGTTAATAAAAGTGCTAATTTAAATTAAATACTGATGTTAAAGGAGGTGGAGGAGTGGACTAGAGATGACCATTCTTGACACTTAAGCTTTCCACACGGTAGTCACACATGTTCTTAGTAACCTCACCTCTCTACCCACTCCATAGAAACTGTCGAGAGAAGGTGGGAAGGGGAAGAGGTAGATTACCAGGTACAAAGTTACAGGCAGATAGGAAGAATGAGTTCTGGTGTCCTAGGCTGACTATAGCTAATACTACTAACACTATATATTTCTAAATAGCTACAAAGAGGATCTGGAAAGTAATCACTGCAACGAAAAGATAAATGTTGAGGTGATGGACATGTTATCTACTCTAAGTGAATCATTGTACAATATATGCATGTACTGAGACACACTGCACCCCACAAATATGTATAATTAAAAATAAAAATAAAAACAGTTGAGAGAGAGAATATCTTGTTGAAATTTTATGTAAGAAGCGTTAAAACTTACCACTTACTTTTACACTGCATCCAATTTCTGGTCTCCACTTTAGCTTCCACTTCCACCCAGGATATGCCCTTGTAGAGTTTTTCCCGAACAATTGATAAACGGCCTTCAGGATTTTCTTGGAGTTTACAGTCCATCTCTTTTAACTCTTCAAGAGATATTTTCTTTAGAATCACTTCTTCAACAGCCTTAATTAGTCTTTGAGTTTCCGTCTTACTCCAAGCACCACGATTTCTTTCTATAGACATAAAAGAATAGTCTTACTGATGCTAATCTATTCACTTTCAAATACAATTACTAAAAGCGAAATGATAAATCAGCCACTTTCCAGAAGACAATGGGTGATGTATCAATTACATAAGCCTAAAACCATCAAACACAATCACATACAAATTAAAGTGAAATTACCAAAGCGATCATGGATTCTTTTTAAGAACCAAAGACAGAAATTATTGAATAAGTCCTGTCTTAAAGCAATGTTTTTTTTCAATTTCAAAAAAGTTGTTCTTCCTGTTTCCGAGAGCAATGTCTCCTACACGAAATTGTGAGGTTCTCAAACATTTAATGTGAAAAAAAATAACCAAATGACTTTTATGTACATGTCTGCTCCCTAAGAGTTTCTATTCTGAAATTGATAGTCACAGTGATACCAACACAGTCCTTGACAAGGGAGGCATCTGAGGATTTCTGAAGACAATCATCTGTGCAGTGTGGCAAAGCCATCCACTGTCCACCTTCTTCACTAGAGACCTTCACAGCCCCGCTAGGTAAGAAAGAGGTCTCAAACTGGCAGCCTGCAAATATCTTTGGTTTGGCCCACAGAGTATTATTTTATTTCCCCCAATAACAATTTGGATGAATATTTAAAAATCTAGAGATTTCCAAGAGAGAAAAAAAGATATCCAGAGTTCCCAAAATTTTTTTAAAATTCTAGATTTTTGTTTACTTCTTGGAATCCTGAAGAACTGGCCACACAGCACTACCTGTGTGGCCGGAGCATGTGAGCCCCTGTGCTAAACAGTAAGCCCGCCTAAGGACTGTGAGGAATATAACCAACGAAACTTTTGATAAAGGAGCAGAAAAAGAGCCAGGGGGTTGCCAACACTGATACTGGGACAAGGCCCTGCCTAATAGGCCAGCTGAACTGCATGCCGCCCTCCCAAAGTCTCCCTTGCCACCGTGGGGGAAGTGACCACCTCCGCCCAGGCTCTCCTACCGACCAGATTCCTTGCATATGGGTCTGCAGAATGGACCTGCAGCAATTTTTGGGCCTTGGATCAGTTGTGGGCTGAACCAGGCCTTCTGGGGCTTATTTATTCACCAAGGTGGGCTCTAGACATGGCCACTTACCACTGCTGATCTGGGAGAATTTCAGGGCAACAGAGAGGTTACTTCGGGCCACCATCTCACCAATCTTTTTCCAGTCGTTCCCATGGAGGGAATGGTATACCTTTAATTTCTCAGCCTCTCCTTTGCTATACCTACAAGAAAGGGAAAACGCATTACAAGTCTGGGTGAACTAGGGGATTGAAAACGGTATTCTTGTTGCAGTGTGCTACAGTCGTGGGAAAAGATGAATGAGACAGGATGTCAGGAAACCAGGTTCCAGCACCAGTCCTACCAATGACCAGAGCTCTTGTCACTTCCTGTTTCTGCACCTCAACAGTACTCATCCTACCAATCAATCACCGCAGTCCCAGGCCAGAGGCTGGCTCAGTCATACAGTGACCCACAGCAAGAAATCTCTTAGTTAGCCCTTTCTCACCTCAGAGCCTCTGTACCTGCAGCAGAAGTGGCTTTCCTCCACCCTCCTGGACAGGGCTTGCAACCCTCCAGATGCAGTTTACACGGACCATCTTCAGGGAGTGTTTCCCTGACTACTCAGCCTAAAGTCCCCCTGCTGTTCACTCAGAGAACACTGCACTGCTCTTTCATAGCACCGGTCACGACTTGCAATTATACTTTATTCATGAACTACTTTGTATACGTCTCTTCCTCTAGACCATCGTTGTTCAATAGAAATAGAATGTGACACACATATGGATTTTAAATGTTCTAGTAGTCACAGAAAAATTCTTATTTTTTTTTTGGTGGCTGGCCAGTTAATTTAGTTTAAATGAAATTAGTTTTAAGAATATATTTCATTTAATCCAATATATTAAAAATGCTATCATTTCAACATGTAATCAGCATCAAAAGAACTGAGATATTTTACATTCTTTTCTTCATACCAAGCCTTCAAAATGCAGTGTCTTTTACTCTTACAGGACATCTCATCTGGACTAACTACACTTCAAGTGTTCAAGAGCCACATGAGGTTGGTGGTCACTGTACTAGATGGTACAATTCAAAGAGTAAGTCCTGTAAGGGCAGGAAACTTGTCAGTTTTGTACACTATAGTATCATAATGCTTGAAGGATAAGACATTCAATTCACATGCAACAAGTGGCTTAATACAAATATGTAACTATTTAAGTAATTTATAGTGTATTAACCCCAAATAAAAACAAATATATTAGAGAAATGTACTAAAAAAGTACTATAATATTATAAATTGATTTTGAGATTAAACACCTTCAATATTTAAGTAAAGAAAAGTGATCTTTATAACTTCCTAAGATTCCTAAACCTTAATACATGGGTGGGGAATGGTGGTTTATGCTATTACTAAGGCAATACAAAAGAAGCCTTAGTAAAATACTAACAATTTCTGATGATAGTGATCCAGTCCTGCTTCAGGACAATAACATCCTAGTGTTTTCAGAAATTTATCTGCAATAAATGCAGAGCACGGTAAATAGAGATACGTTATTCTTCACTATTAAGAATCATGGATATCAAAATGGAATACTTTCTAGTAGTTTTCTTCTCAAGGCAATCAGGGTCTTTCTGAGATAAAAAAAAAAACAACTTAAAGACATCCCTGAAGCAACAGAAAAGAGGAAGTAAGAGTAAAACTAAGTGTACAAAAACAGGGAGACAGGTGTACTGACCTCCAAACTCCCCCACAACCTTAAAATTATTAAAGTTTTTACACTGTATGGTTTTTTTTTTCATTTAAGAATTCCTTAACTTGAAAAAATATTTTAGGAATAAATGATCACCACAACACAAAAAGAATAAACTTTTAAGTTATTGGAATCACAGACTTTTATTATTCTATCATAATAATAAATCAATACAGCAAGAATAAACTTTTAAGTTATTGGAATCACAGACTTTTATTATTCTATCATAATAATAAATATAATAAAAATGTCATTCCCCTACCTATGTCACAGGTAGAAAAATATGTTACCTCAGCTCCCACCATTAATTTGCCAAAAGCATTCTTTTAAGTCCCATTTAAAATGCCATCTTTAGGGCCGGCCTGTGGCTCACTCGGTAGAGTGCGGTGCTGATAACACCAAGGCCACGGGTTCGGATCCCATATAGGGATGGGCGGTTCGCTCACTGGGTGAGCGTGGTGCTGACAACACCAAGTCGAGGGTTAAGATCCCCTTACCGGTCATCTTTAAAAAAAAAAAAAAAAAAAAAAAATGCCATCTTTAGTTCTTTCACAATTGGGGTTTGGGAAGAGAGGGCAGGGCAGGTCTCAGTCTGTGTGTGCGTGACCTTTCCTCACTTAAGGCTGGTTCCTTTTTGTAAACATTTTAAAAAGAAAGCAAGGTTGTATCAAACCAAGGCTGGACATTTATGTGTATATATACACACATAAAACTTGGTTTAAAATCATATAGCTAAGCAGAACTCAACTGATGCTCCTAGAAAATCTACACAATCTGCCTCCCAGAGTGAGGTCAAGTAGTTGAGCCCATAGCTGTTTTCGGGGCTGTTGGAAGCAGAGCGGACACCTTCCAGCTTATGCCTTTGTCCTTGAGCAGAGCACTTACCCTAGCCAACAGTTCATCTAGGTTTATTTTTTCAATTTGGAATGTTGGAAACATATTACAATTGAATCTTTTATCTGAGGGAAAGGGAGGAGAGAAGGACATGAAGCACCCCGCACTGACACTACTGACCTGTACTTAAGTGACCATCTAGTACTAGCGTTTCCCTCCACCTCACATATTTACTGAAAACCCAAACAACTGTGCTAAGTGCTAAAGGGAACACAGTGTTGAGAAGGAATGTTTGGGCTCATAGGAGCTTACAATGTAGAAGAGAGCAGAGAAAACACGAGTAACAATGAGAGAGCTAGAGGATGTTGAGTACTAAAATGAAAGTACAAAAAAAATGCTGAGGATTTAGGAAAGACAAGATCTCAAAAGGTGGAAATTGAAATGGGTCTTGAAGACATACACTTGACGATAAATACATAATCTGGTTTCACACACAAACATCTCCATGATTTTTACTTCCAATCTATTGCTGTGACTATTTTGATTTATGGTGCCAGCAAAGATTAGAAAAATGTTCTGTCTCAAGCTGCTAAGACTTTTTTCTTACCTGCCTTTGTAATTATTGACATCAAACATCTTCTTTGCTCGATAGTATACTAGTTTCCAGGGCCGGGCAATGCCCTTACCTATGGTCAGAAGAAAGGCAGTCAGAGGAGGCACGAAGAGCCTGGCATGAAATGTAGCCACATCTGTAAAGGAACCTAGAATAGCCCTTTTCAGCAACACTCACTATCCTAACCCCACGTGAAGGCTGAGATTTCCTATGTCCTGCAGAAAGCTGTCTTGGGAAGCAGATGTACACAGTCACCAGTTTCCTTGCAGATCTTTGCCAACTAGATGCTTAGTACATAGAGGCTCCAGCTTCCAGTCTACTCAATTCATTGAAAAGACACTTTTAAGGCAAAGTAATTTGTACATCATTTGAATTAAGAGGAAGGGAACACTAAAGTGGGGGACACATGCCAACAGTTCTCCATAAGATGAGCAAATTAGGCTTTTTTCCAAATCTTTCCAAATTAGGCTATTTTCTTTTTCACTATAAAGATGAAATAATCCCTCAACAGGGGCTCACTATCCTGTTTTCCTTTGTGCATTCCAGACAAGAAAGTAACCAAAGAAATTATCCTCTTTACATTCAAAAAAGATTTTCTTTCATTCCAATCCTATATTACTTCATGAGCTTCTAACTTTCCAAGCAGTACCTTCAGAGGAGGGTTCCAGCTATAAAGCACACATGTGGTCACATTTAAAACTAAGGAGACTATGGGTGCAAATAAGGATGTACTTTGTGTAGTATACACAAAAAATAAATAATAAAGAACAAGAAGAGAAACTCAAACCCTAACTATTGCCAAGGAAGAAAGATAGAAGTTGGCTATTTAATTTTTCTCAAAATCTGTAAAAGCACTATACTTGAGAGACATGAACACATTCCAAATACCCAGAAGAACAGACTGGCAGTAAGGACAGTGTTAGCCACAGCAGCAGTTAACGTGTACCACATGCACGGAACAGCCAGGCACTTGCCAGGTGCTTACCGTGGGTGATCTTGTTTATGGCTGGAAGGCTGTGGATGGTCAAAGAGCGAACATTTCTAAACTTACCAATGTGCAATCTAAACGAGTGTTTTCTTTTTAAATCGGTGATCACAGACTTTTCCTTTGGATATCTGTCTGTATACAACAGCTTGTCTGCATTCTCAATTCCTGTCAAGGCTAAAAATTCTTGCACATTTTTCTCTAACTGCTTATTTTCCTTGGCAGAAAACTTGCCAAATTTAATAGCGACACCTAGGATGTTGGGGTGGGGGGGGAGAAAGAAAGTATATACTGTCAATAATGAACAAAAGCAAACCTGCCGCTGGGTCTTCCATCAGCGATCACAGCTCAAGCGCCAGCCAGCACCTCCCTGCCTGTGCACCTGACGTTGGCCCTCCAGTCTTCACACGCAGCCACACCTCTCCTCCCAGTCTTCCCTGGTCATCCTATTCTAAAGTGACCTTTTCTGCTTCATCCATCTCTTTTTAAAATCGTTATTTTTTAATGTTAAAAAGTAACATAGCTTTATTAAAAATTCAAGTAGCATTGAAATAAAAGTTTAAAAGAAGCCTCCACTTTACTCCCTTGTGACAATGACCTCAGGTAGGACTGTGAGTATGTTGGCATGAACGGGAAGATTTATGTGTATTGTCTATGCACATGCACTGGGGGAGGGGTGACAAATGTCAGGGCACTTTACACTGTCTTCCCAGTCACAACACAAAGCACTCGAGTTTCATCATGTATTGACTGTGTTATACAGTACATTTTTCTGTCTTTAGGTTCATTTTTAAAATATCTTTTATAAAACATATACTCCTAAAAATTTCAACACAGGGCTGGCTGTGTGGCTCAAGCGGTTAGAGCATGGTGTTATAACACCAAAGTCAAGAGTTTGGATGCCCCTACCAGTGAGTCGCCAAACAAAAAAAAATTTCAAAACAGAATATACCAATGAGATATCAGATATTGCTGTATAAATTATGCGTGTATTTGTCATATTTTTTTTTTCTTTTTTGCTTAATTTATCTATTTTTTTGAACTATTCTCTTCCACCTAACTCCATAAGGTTAAGGCCCCTCTTTTTACTTTTTTCAATGACCAGTGGTATTGGGCCTTCATAGCAGACACTCAGTAAATATCGCTCATTTGTAGTACACAGCCCTAAATTTGTAGCTTATTCTTAAATCCAAAAAACTCTCTGGGATGTTCTTGCAACACAACGAAATCAAAAAGGAAAAAAGTTGGGTCCCACTTGAGTGCATGCCCACTACAACCAGCTCACCTTTAAGTTAATATCTTGGGGAAAGAAAGTACACGTCATCCAAGTTGATGATGTTAATTTGACAGTGTTTTAATTTTATTTTACTTTTGTATCCTTCCTAGTGTCTCAACCAATCAACCTCCTCTTCTTGCAGCACTGATCTTCTAGCCCGGCGATCCACTGGTCCCTTCAGCCCCCCTCTTCCTTGCCGCCTGCACCAGAAGTTGAGCAAGAGGAAGAAAAGAGTGTATTTCATTTTGCTAATTTCACAGCTCAGAGATAAAGCTGGAAGTAGCTAAAGGATGCTTCCTGCGAATCTAAAAATCTGAATCATTTGCAAAAGAAAGTCAGGTGCTAGCTTCGCATACAGGAAACTTCAACAAATATTAAAGTTCCACAAGCTCACCTTGTGCTTTGAATTCTTTAAACCGTCCCAAGTCATCCCGATACATTCGCTTAATTGTAGTGGGAGCCCTTTCCTTTATGTCAGGAATGAACTTCTGGAGCTGCTTCACGGCATAATGCAAATCCACATCCGAATCATCTGAATCTTCAGATAAATATCTTACTTCAGAATCTTTAGTTGATTCCAAATTGCTATCTTCATTTGTAGGTTCTGACCTAAGACGGAAAATTGTGTTAACATTAACATATCACTTGACCTAATAGCTTCTTCTGCAAGGTGTAAAAGTCAATTTATTTTTCTTTCTATTTGCTTTTCCCCCCAAGAAGTTTTTCTTTTTATTTTTTTCCCCTTAAGACTTTACTTATAGTAGTTTTAGGTTTATAGAAAAATTATGCAGAAACTACAGATAGCTCACCCCCCCACCCTTTCTTATTGTTAACATCTTCCATTGTGTAGCACATGTTACAAGTATGAACCAACATTGACCCGTTACTGTTAACTCAATTTTATATTAGGGTTCCCTCTTTGGATTGTTTGGTTCTATGGGTTTTGCAAAATACATATTGTGTATTCATTACAGTATCATACAGAACAGTTTCACTGCCCTAAAAGTCTCTTATGCTCCACCTTTTCATCCCTCATTCCCTACCTCCTCCCCTGAAACCCTGGCAACCACTGATTTTTTTTTTCCCCATTACTTTAAACATTTGTCATTTCTTTGTGTTGGGAACATTTAAAATCTTCTCTTCAGTATACAATAAATTGTTGATTATAGTCACCCTAGTGTTTTAGAACATTAAATCTTATTCCTCCTATCTAGCTGTAATTCTGTATCTGTTAATCAACTGCTCCCTGTCCCCCTCCCCCTTCCGGCCTCTGGTAACCACTCTTCTACTCTCTACTTTTATGTGATCAGCCTTCTTAGCTCCCACATGAGTGAGAACATGCAGTCTTTCTGTTCCTGGTTTACTTCACTTAACTTAATGTCCTTCAAACTCATCCATGTTGCCCCAAATGACAGGATTTCATTCTTTTCATGGCTGAACAGTATTCCATTGTGTATTTTCTTTATCCATTCACCTGCTGATGGACACTTAGGTTGATTCCAAAACTTGGCTGTTGTGAATAGTGCTGCAATAAACATAGGTGTACAGATATCTTGTCTATATATTCATTTCCTCTCCTTTGGCTATATACCCAGTAGTGGGATTGTTGGATCACACGGTAGTTCTATTTTTAGTGTTTTGAGGAACCTCCAAAGTGTTTTCCATAATGGCTGCACAAATTTGCATTCCCTCCAAAAGCATACAAGAGTTTCTCTGCATCCTTGCTAGCATATTTTGTCTTTTTGAAAATAGCCATTCTAACTGGATTAAGATGATAGCTCACTGTGGTTTTGACTTGCATTTCCCTGATGATTAGTGGTGTTGAGCATTTATGCATATATCAGTCAGCCATTTGTCCTTTTTTGAAAAAATGTCTATTCAGTTCATTTGTCCATTTTTTAAGTCAGATTTTTTCCTTTGAATTGTTTGAATTTCTTGTATATTCTGGATATTAATTCCTTTGTCAGATGCATAGTTTGCAAATATTTTCTCCCTTTTTGCAAGTTAACTTCACTCTGCTGATTGTTTCCTTTGTTGCGCAGAAGTCTTTTAGTATGATATAATCCCATCTGCCTATCTTTGCTTCTATTGCCTGTGCCTTTTCATAAGGTCTTTGTCCAGACCAATGTCCTAAAGCATTACTGTTTTCTTCTAGCAGCTTCATGTCTTACATTTAAGACTTTAATCCATCTTGAGTTGATTTTTGTATATGGTGAGAGAAAGGGTTCTAGTTTCATTCTTCTGCATACTGATATCCAGTTTTCCTAGCACCATTCACTGAAGAGACTGTCTTTTCCTCAATGAATATTCTTGGCACCTTTGTCAAAAATCAGTTGGTTATAAATAGGTGGCTTTATTTCTCAGTTCTCCATTCCGTTCCATTGGTCCATGTGTCTGTTTTTATGTCAGTACCATGCTGTTTTGGTTACTATAGCTTTGTTGTATATTTCGAAGTCAGGTAGAGTGATGCCTCCACCTCTGCTCCTTTTGCTCAGGATTGCTTTGGCTGTTTGGGGTCTTTTGTGGTTCCATATGAATTTTAGGATTTTAAAAAAATTTCTGTGAAGATCATTGGTATTTTGATAAGGATAGCACTGTATCTGTAATTTGCTTTTGTTTTGGTAGTATGGTCATTTTCAGAATATTAATTCTTCCAATCCATGAACATGGAATGCCTTTCCATTTCTTTGTGCCCTTTTCTATTTCTTTCATCATTTTTTTATACATTTCCTTGCAGAGATCTTTCACCTCCTTGGCTAAATTTATTCCTAGATATTTTATTTTTTTGTCGCTGTTGTAAATGGGATTGCTTTCTTGATTTCTTTACCTTGCTCATTATTGATTTATAGAAATACTTTTTAATATATATTGAATTTGTATCCTGCAACTTTACTGAATTTGTTTATCAGTTCTAAGAGTTTTTTGGTGGAGCTTTTAGAGTTTTCAATATATAAGATCATGTTGTCTGCAACCTAACAACCTTAAATTCTTTTTAAAAGTGACTCTCAGACTACTAGAGTGTTAAAGCTAGACAGAATCTAGGAGTTGATTCAGTCCATGATTTTCAAACTCTTTAACGTATCTTTATTAACTTGGATATGGAGTCCCCCCCCCGCCTTGCCTGTGAGGGATATGTTCCAAGATCCCTAGCAGATACCTGAAACCATGGATAATACTGAATCTTGTATATACCATGTTATTTCCTACACATACATACCTATGATAAAGTTAAATTTATAAATTAGACACACTAAGAGATTAACAATGGTAACTAAAATAGAACAATTACAATGTGTCAGCATCACTACTCTTGTGCTTTGGGGCATTAAGTAAAATAAGAGAAAACAAAGGTAATTTGGGGGTCTTAAAATGGTTTTTAAACTTACAGAATTTCAAGGCTGAAATAGTTCTTAGTGAAAATCTGATCAAACTGCATTATTTTATACATGATGAAATTATCTGCCATGTTTACTCAATTAAAGGTGGACATTATTCTGTACATGAGATGATCTATCTCTTCATGATTCCTGCCATTTAACATGTATGTGCTGAAAAGAGAGGCTACGTGCAGAATGCTTACAAAAGACGCATACCAACAGAAGGCATGCTGTTCTCCATTACCTCTGCACCTCTTCCACACGCTTCTCTTCTGGATAGGCCTGCGTTTTCTTCTTTTGTGGCCTGGGTTTCACACTTTCTTCAATCAAGGTACCATCACCTTCCAGTGAATCAAAGGGGGTATTCTCAGAGTTCTTACTGAGCATTGAAAAATCATCTCCTGAAGCTACAGCACTTTTGACAGAAATATGCTTCCTTTTCTTAGACTTTTTCTTTATATTATTGGATTCCTGGACCCCATTAAGTGCATCACTGCCTTCTGCAGTCTCAACCTCACCAACCACTTGTGATCCTGCAGGGTATGTGTTCTCAAGACTTTCAGGCATGACCAATGCCTCAAATTCCTGTTTTTTGGACTTCTTTTTCTTTTTTCTCTTAGACTTGTCTTTCTCAGCAGACACTGGTAGGTCTGTAATTTCGCCTTCTAGGTCCACAGAAAGGAGTTCCTGCTCGTGTGATTCTGGGTGGGGCAGGGTGATGCTCACAGGACAGCTTTCTTGTACGGCATCACAGGATGTAACTTTCCTTCGACGTTTTTTGTTCTTTTTCTCTCTAACTTTATCATGTAGTTCTTCTGACTCATTTTTACATGACTTAGTAACTGCATGCCATTCATCTGCTTCAGGCTCTTTTATTGACTTTTCTGCCTTGCTCATATCAACATAAACGACATCAACATCCTTTCTAAAATTCTTTCGTGTTTTCTCAATCTTTTTTTTATCCACAAGGACACATGTAACAGCTGTTTCCTTGTCTACCCCCAAAACACTTTTTCTTCTCTTTTTCTTCTTTTTGGGTGTAGAAGTAGCCTTTTCAGTCTCATCACAAATTTCTGAGTTCTTCAAAGGAGAAGAAATGAGATGCTGGAAATCCTTTCTTTTCTTTTTACTCTTTGTTATTTGAGACTGTTCACTTGTCAGGGAGGAGTCTGTGAAACTTTCATGGGAACGTTTTCGATGTCCTTTCTTATGTACAGAATACTTTTTCTTTTTCTTGTCAAAAACTGGAGTGTAGATTTCAAATCTGTTCGATTCTCCTTCCATTTTATTCCTATAGGGAAATGTGACAATGATGGTTTATTTTTGCATTTTAAACATTAGCCTCAGGGGGAAAAATCACAACAAAATGAAATTGTATGACAAATAACAAGCCTGGAGTCATGATAATATATTTTATATTATATTAGTCTAAATGTACATGAGGCTCACTGTAATGCACTCTGTCTGGTCGCAGAGTACAAGAGAGAACAGTGCCCTGCACCATAAGGTCTCTGTCCCCCTCACAGCCTCATCTTTGACCTCTCCTTTCCAACTGTGCACTTCAGCCACATGTGCCTTGTTTTGTTTCCTCAAACATGCCACAATCCTTTCCTTGGCTCTCCCTGGAATTCTCTCTGCTGCCTCCCCACCTTCCCTGCCTCTTGTCATCCTTCAGAGCTTGGCTTGAAGATCACTTCTTCCAGAGAGCCTTCCCTAACCCCTTGGGTTGGATCGTTCCCCAAATGGATATACTTCCATATTCAAAAAATAAACAATTATATAATTTAATGTCTGTCTCCTCTGCTAAAAACATAAATCTCAAGAAGGAAAGCTGTTTGTCTGTTTTGTTCCCCTCTGTGTTTCCACCTTCTGGAAGTCATGTCTTAGGACTACATTAGAGTGCAGGCTCCATGAGAGGACTTCATGGGGGAGCATCAAGTACCCACTGATCTCAAACCCAAAGACTGTCCTTTGAGAAAGAGGTTGGACATGTCTTGTTAGGGTCCAACAAAGAATGAAAATTATGCAATATGTTGGAATAAATTTTCATAAGGCTCTAATGTTAATACTCATATAAAGAGCACACGCATTTTGGAATTTAAATACAGTAATAAGAGATGTAGTTTACAAAAGATGGTTAAAAATATAACACTGCGAATATGTCTTACTCCTTTTTAGCTCTGTATTGCTTCTGGGTTTCAATTTTTTAGATTTTATTTATCTTTGACTAAGTAAAACATTTATGTGGTTCGAAAATCAAAATAATCTATTCTTATTTCCTTTCTTTTCTTATACAGAAGGTAGCATCTATATATTCTGATCTGCTTTTGCTATTTTCACTTAACAATGGATCCTGGAAATCTCTCTGTAGCAGTGGTTTTTCAAGCCTGATGCTAAGTACATTTTCTACAGAAAATACTTTTATCCTGGATTATCTCATTAATAATTTTTATATACTGATTCAATGTTGAAATAATAGTTTGGATATTGGGTTAAGTAAAATACATTCCTAATTCTACCTGTTCCTTTGAAAGCTTTTTAATGTGGTGCTTAGCAAATTTTAAATTACATATGTGGCTTGCATTGTTTGGACAGCATTGCTCTAGACAATTCACTCTTTTACTCTTCTTGAAATAATTATTTCAAACTTTCTTCACTTCCATGAACTTCTAATTCTATTAGAATAGAAGAATATTAGAACTTCTAATAGAAGTTCTTTTAACTTCTATTCTTCTATCACTTGCAGTAGGTGAATTTGCCCACAACTGCACACTCTCACACACACTAAACAAGAAATATATTACTCCTCAAATCTAACATGTTTGCCTGAATCTGCCCCATCCTCTCTCCCTCTTGCTCCAACAAAGGAAGCACCCCTTCTCCTGTCAAAGGCCATTTCCTTCATATGTGTGCTGGATCCCAACCCCTCCTGCTTTCTCAGAGAGATGGTGATCCATCACATACCCCATCTCTTTTCTGTACCTTTCACCTCTCCCTTCTGCACTGGATCCCTTCTAGCAACACTCTAACAGTCTCTAGTTTCTTCTAAGGTAAGAAAGAAAAAAAAAAAGCAACCGTCTTCTACCCTAAAGTTCCATCCAGCTATTCTCCTTCTTCTCCTTCACAGCAACATTTGAGAAACCACTCTTTCCATCTCCTCACCTTCTATTTCTAACCAACATCCTGTAGCTTCCACTCTCCACTGAGACTGCTCCAGCATGAGTGCCTATGACCCTCAAGTCACTAAATTCAATAGACACTTTTCAGGCCTGTCTTTTGGGACCTCTCTTTTTTTTTTTTTTTTTTTCCCTTTTTGTCTTTTTTCGTGACCGGCAACGGATCGCAACCCTCAGTGTCGCGCCCGTACCGGACCGGGACCAGCAACGGGATTGAAACCCTCGGTGTCGCGTCCGCACCTCGCTCAGCCAGTGAGTGGAGGTCTGTATGTGGGATCCGAACCCTCGGCGGGAGCGCTGCCGCGCTCCTAAGCGGCGCACTNTGTCGCGTCCGCACCTCGCTCAGCCAGTGAGCGGAGGTCTGTATGTGGGATCCGAACCCTTGGCGGGAGCGCTGCCGCACTCCTAAGCGGCGCACTGTAGCAGTGGGCCACCGGGCCGGCCCGTCTTTTGGGACCTCTTAATAACAATGAACAGAGCAGATAATTCCTTTAAATATTCTTTTACTTTCCATCATTTTCTTTCCTTTTTGTAAATTCCTCTTAAGCTGCTCCCTCTGGTCTCTTGAGCTCAGCTCAACCTTCTAAATTCATAGTACTCCCAGCTAAAAACTTTTTATGGTTCCTCCATTATTCTCAAGACAAAGTCAAGATCCTTACAGACCTACAAAGCTCTTCATTTCTTCATGACTTAATCTGGCCTATGCCTGCTTTTTCACCTCTCATTTCTCTCTGGGTTTCAGACAACACCGTGCCTTCTTCCAGTTCCTAAAATACACTATGTTCCTTTTTCTCTCAGGGACTTTGCAAAAGCAGCTCGCTCCGCATTACTTTTGTGCCCTTTAACTGATCCAAGTATAAAAGTCACTTTCTCAAGAGGGGCCTCTTTAAGTCCTTAACTGGGTCCCATCTCCCCGTTATACAGTGTTCCCCAAGCACCCAGCTGCTCCCCTATTGCAGTCGTGACATGCAAGACCCCCCCTTAAGGGCTAGGATCTTGCCCGTCTTGCCCTCAAATGGCTCCCCAGGGCTCCATACGCACCGAACGAGTGGATATGGATTTCCCCCACGTAGTCTGAACACACACTTCCCGCCCCGCAGGGTACGTGCCCCAGCCTGGTCCCGGACCCCTCACCACCTACGAGGTGCGGCAGAGACCCTGCTCTGCTCTCGGGCGGGCGCTCCGGGGCTGGGAGGAGCTAACCCGAGGCGGACTCTGGCTCCTCTCAGTCCCCCGGGCCCAAGCCTCGGTTCAGCGAGTTCGGGTCTGGAGCAGCAGCGAAGACTGCGGCGCCGACCCCAACCCGGACGCCTCAGGCCAAAGGCGGCCTCCCGGAAGGCGCCACCCCGCGCCGCCCGACTCCTGTGTGCCGAGTCCAAGACACCGAAACATCTAATGACAGCCCTTGCAACCTACCCTCGGTAACCGCCACAACCGCTCTTCCACCCCGGAAGTGCTGCTACGTGGAAGCGGAAGTAATCGTGCGTCGCTTACCCGCTTGCCGTCATGCTGTCATAGCAACGGGGCTGACGCCCCGACCGTGGCGCATGCGTAGTTGCCTGCCCTTTTTGCTCCCGGGGAGTTTAGGGGTGGGGTGGGGTAGAGGGTGCTCCTAAAACTAAGCAAACAGGACAGAATTCTTCCTTTTCTTTACTAACTCATGCATGCGTTCAATTTAGTCAACAAGTGTTTGCTAAGTTCCGTCTATGGTCCAAGAGTGAACAACCTGGGGAAGACAGATACACAAATCAAGATAATTTTGGATTATCCTGTAAGGAAAATAAAACAGGGTAATGTGATGGAGAGCGACTGGGGACAGTGGATGCTACTTTAGATGGAAAGAAGGCTCTTTGAGGAGTGGCATTTGAGCTGAGTTCTAAATGAACAGGGCAAGCAAAAATCTAGGTGGAAGAGTGTTCCTGGCTGGAAGCAAGTGCAAAAGCCCTAAACGTGGTTTCTGGAGGAACTGAAGGAAGACCAGGGCAGCTGGAGCACAGTGAATGAAGGGGAGAGTGGTGGGACATGAAGACAGAAGGAGGCCGGGGCTAGTCAGTGCAGGTCTGATGCACGTTAAGCTTAGATGAAGTCTCAAAAGGTTAGAGCTATAGGGAGCCTTGGAGATTTATCTCAATTTTTCCATTTCAAGGGAGCTGAAGAAACTTAGCTTATAATGAAAAGTAAAGATTTAATCAGGCCATCAAGTTGAGCCTGTTATATATACCACCCCACATTTTAGCCTTTTGGCGTAGTGAATGTGATTATATAGACAACATATTTTCTCATTTAATCCTGTAACAATCCTCCATTGCAGGTATCTTTATAAGATAGTACTATTCCCACCTTGTTGATGAGAAAGCCGGGCCTTAAGTAACTTACCTAAGGTGACCTGCATGGCCCAGCCAGGATTGAAAGCTGTGCTCTATCCACTTCTCCACTATGCTGCCCCTCACTGCTTCATCCTGACTCCCTCTGTGTGTGCTGCTAAGCAGCTTTGATTAAAAAGTGCACAATCTATACTTCTGTGAAAGTCTGGAGGTGAAACAGGCTGTAGAAACAATGAGCACACACACACACACGTTGCCACACAAGGGCTGCTTCAGGCCTTGAATGAGGAGTTGGAACTCTGGTGTGCTCTGTAAATGTGGTATTGGTGTTGCCCACTGTTCATATGTAAAGCCTTGAACTTCAGGTTTGTCATAGGTACAACTTATTCTGTGGCGAACCCACTTGCCCAGAGGTTTGTGTAAAAGGATTTTTGCGTGTTTAATGATGATGATAGTGATGCATAAATGAACCCACAAAAGGCTGGACCTAGAAGGGATCAGAGCTCATCCAGGCTAGTGGTTCCAAAAACACTATACCAGTTGCCTGGGAAGCTTTTTTAAAAAAATGCAGATTCCCCAACTTTGCATATGGACTGCTTATTAGACACTACTGTTGTATCACATTAAAATCCTTGGACATGGGGCCGGCCCGGTGACGCACTGCTACAGTGCACCGCTTAGGAGCGCGGCGGCGCTCCCGCCAAGGGTTCGGATCCCACATACAGACCGGTTCCTTCTTGCTGGCTGAGCGAGGTTCGGGTGCGACACCGAGGGTTGCGATCCCGTTGCCGGTCCCGGTCCGGTACGGGCGCGACACTGAGGGTTGCGATCCGTTGCCGGACTCGAAAAAAGACAAAAAGGAAAAAAAAAAAATCCTTGGACATGACATTGTAGTTATGCATGAGAATGTCTTTGATACATGATGAAGTATGCAGGGTCAAATATAATATTGTTTGCAGATATTTTCAAATGATTCTGCTCTGTGTGTGTGTGTGTATACGTTCACACACAGAGAGAAAGCAAATATGGCAAGTGCTAAGGACTGGTGAATCTAGATGAAGCCTACACGAGTTTTCTTTGTACTCTTCTTTCAACTTTTCTGTAGGTTTGCATTTTTTTCAAAATAAAAAGTTTTGAGGGGTGGGGTGGGGTAGGGGATTTTTTAAAATGCAGAGTCCCAGATGCCATTTCAAGATACTCTGATTCAGTGTGTCTGGGGTGGGTCCTGTGAATATGTATTTTTCAATTTCTATCCGTTTTTGTCGCACGAAGTTGGGTACTACTGATGTAATCCAACTGTAGACTTTCCTCCTCACCCATTTCACAGAAGAAAAAAACTGAGAACCCAAGAGGATAACTAGCTCGGGATCACCCAGTGGATTAGCAGCCACCTCAGGCCTGGAATGCGGATTTCTACTTCGTAGTGAACAACTTCGCGCTTTATCTCTGGCGTCTGTGTGCTGCGCAGGGAGCAGGAGAGGCGGTGAATGGAGTGGGGCTGGGTGCGGGGAGGGTGTGACTAGGAAGTCAGGAGTAAATGGCCCTCGAGAGCCCCGTCACTTTTAATACAACCCAGTGGTGATTCTTGGGTTGTCCTATGTCGATTTAAGAGAGCTCTGAACAGGTGCACACTGGTGGCCGCCAATAGTTTCACGAAAAGAAAACGACAGAAGTAGCCGGGCGCTGTTGGCGTCCCGTCGCCAAGGAGACGGGCCATTCCATTCCTCCTCGAGGGGTGGTCTTGATTTTCTTTCCTCTCCCAGTCGGAAGCGCGGGGCCCAGAAGACCCTCTGCGGAGCCCGAGGGACTTATACAAGGGTTTACGTCTCCTTGGAACGAGGGGCCGTCTCGAGGTGGGCGCGCCCCGCTCCAGAGCGGAGCCGGCATCCGTCCCCCTCCCCAGGGTCCCGGTGGTGCGGCCCGGGGCGCGCGGTGGGTGCCTCCGAGCTCCTTGCCGGCCGGGGCGTGCGGAAGCGAGCCGGGTCCAGCCCGCGGGCCGACTCCCCAGCGACCCCCAGGATGCCCGAGGTCAGGAGCCCCGGCCAGGACCTCACGCGATGGAAGCAGCAGCCGCCGGGGCGCCGCACGGTCAGCCAGATCTGCCCGCCCCCTCGGCGGCCCCTGACCGTGGCCGACATCCGGCCCGGCATGGAGAACGACAGGCTGGGGGTCTTGCGGGACTCCATGTTCCAGAACCCGCTCATCGTCAAGGTGAGCCGCCCACCCGCCCGCCACCCTTGCGCGCTCGCCGGCTCCCCGGGCACCCCCGCTGTACCGCCCTGACCGTGGCCGACATCCGGCCCGGCATGGAGAACGACAGGCTGGGGGTCTTGCGGGACTCCATGTTCCAGAACCCGCTCATCGTCAAGGTGAGCCGCCCACCCGCCCGCCACCCTTGCGCGCTCGCCGGCTCCCCGGGCACCCACGCTGGGGGGCCGGGTCCGAGCGCAGCGTTGGGAGCTCCAGCTGTGGTCCAGACAGGCCCGGACCCCCGTGCGGTCACGGGCAGGTCACGTCGCCTCTCTGAACCTCAGCTTCCTCATCCTCCGAGTGGGATGACAATGGCACCCATTAAAGGGAGGCTGAACAGGGTAAATCCCTGCGGGACCCTGGCACGGCGCCTGACAGGCAATGAGCCTGCAACGTTGGCTGCTGTGGCTTCCCCAGGAGCCGCCTGTGTCCTCGCTCGCCACCTGCCAGCCCTCCCAGGACCAAGGCCGCCTCTACCCTTTCCCCACGCGCCCGAGCTAATTCCATGCAGCAAGTGCTCCTGCCAACCTTGGAAGCATCATTTCACAAATTAATTTCCGCCCAATCACAGTCTTATTACTTATCCAGAATCACAATCCTAAGAGAAAAACGTGCGCATCTCCGGCCTAGGAGGCCCCGCAGGCACGAGCGAGGGAGCTGCGGCTTCTCGCCAGACACCTTCCCTTTTACAGCCCACGCCCTCTCACTTCTGCTGCCCCAGGAAAAGTCGGTTTGAGGTTCGGTGGTTCCGGAGCTGGCCATGGAGCAAGTGTACCTTGCACCACTGGAGGGCAGTGTGCCCTTAAAAATGCGCTGTTTCCCAGGTGCGGGCGGTGGAAGGCGCAGGTGGTAACCATGGATTCAGCAATTTATTTATTTGACTGCCAGGCCTGATTGGAGCCCCGAGGTTTTTGTTGTTGTCCTTGTTTGGTAAAGGTAACCTGGGCTTTCTCAACACTGTGCTAGAATTAGCTGAGTTAATTGGCTCCCGGGGAAACACTGACTCTCTCCTGCTGTTGCTGCATCTGGGGGAAGTGGGCCTTTCCCACTGGGCACCCTGCCATCTAATACACCCCTTTCTTAGGGCCCCCCCAAAGTGGAACAAGGTCCTTCACTTACTTCTAGGTGAGAAGGGCCACTCTCAGTGGACAGATGGGACAGTTGGGGTTCACCATTCTGGGATCAAGGAGAGAATCAAGTCCACAGCCTTTGACCAGCTGCTCTAGTGGTAGGTTACTGCTTTGACTCAAGTAGTTACTAGTGGGCCAGCTCCTTCCTACTTAAATATAAAATGAAGGGCATTATGGAGTTATTCTCCATAGTGAATTAGTGTGCGATGCCCACCCCAAGCGAGAGATGTAGATATGTATACACATACACGTATATAGACAAATACATATTATATATACATGTATATGTAAGTTTTACATATATCATATGTACATGTATGTATACATATGTACAATATAGCCTCATATGCGTAAAATATAATATATGTGCACATATATGTAAAATTTCCCCGATTTTTCTTTTTTCCTTTTGCTTTTTTTCCTCCCCTGCCTGTATTAAGAAAGACAACATTTGGCCTCTGGATGGCACTAGCTGAACTGCTTCCAGAATGAATTCAATCCCAGATTCCTGAACCCGAGCTTAAGGTTGGAAAGTGTACAGGAGATAACTGACCCACGACTGGTTCTCTACTCAGGGCATGGGACGCAGAGCAGGACTGCCCTGACCCCTGGTGAACATCAGGGTCTTTCTTCATCCAGTGGTCTCTGGGGATTGAGCCTGGGGTTCTCTCCTGCGAGGGGCAGCCAGGGGCAGCCTTTTCCTCTGACTTTCCTTCCTGGGTTCCTGAAGGGCCATATGTACTTTCTGTAGCAGTTAAGATTAAGTCCACATTTCAGTTATTACCTCCTATAAGACTTTATCAAAACCTGACCTAAAGAAAAGTTGGCAGAGAAATTGAGCGCTGAAGGGACCCTTGACTGTTACCTTTTCCAGATCCCTCTTTACAAACCAGTATGCTAAGGCCATCTCGGCTGGGTGTTTTGCCCAAGGTTTTGGCAGAGTTTGGATTAGAAGCTACATTCAATGACTCCCAACCCAGCATTATTTTTATCGTTCCAAACAGCTTCCTATATTTTAATGAAAATTTAAATTATGAAAAAACTGTGGAGTTTTTGGCTTTAAAGAAAAGGAGATCATGAATATTCATAACCAATAAAAAAATAATAAAAAAAATTAAAAAAGAGAAAAGGAGAAAATTGAAAGTATTTAAGATTATGGAGACTTTAAACAGTATTTTTTAAAAATATGTTACTGAAATTTCCATTGAACTTGGCTTATAGATTTCTTCATTGTGGCATATCAGTTTCACCAGCCCAGATTTCCCGATCTCTGTGTCAGTGTGTGCCTCCTCATTGTGTGTGGCAGAGGTTGGGCGTGCCCTCTGCTTCGGGTATCTTTAGGAGGGTGATCAGTATATTTTGTATATTTCGGTTTTGACTAAGTCTGAACCTGAAGTGTGCATCTATATTGGAAGAATACAGCACCGCAGAAATAGTCATTTATTCTACCATATTGGTGGCTTATTGCTCAGATTGTTTTCTCCGGTGGACAGGATGAGCATTTTTTTCTATTTAAAATGCAGACACTGAACAAACCCAATACTGGTATTTCACACCCATGGAATCTACCAGGATGTATACACATCAGTTATTCAAGAACATGTCTGCAAAATGCCACAGTAACCAAGTGAAGAGTGAAAAACTCAGACATCCAAGCAGGTGTTTTATCTACAAGTGCTCAACAACTATTTGCCTCGTTTAAAACCAGGCCAACTGGTTATTTAATGGGGCTGATTGAATCAAGCTGGTGTTTTATGTGGCCACAAAAAGATGTGAATATTTTCCATTAGAAAGGGCTTCTGCTCTGTTGTATAAAGTGATGCGCAGTTAGCCAGTTTTCCTTCAAATGTGACTCACTGGGAAGAATAAAATTAAATAGAGAAAGAACCCAGCTTCTCTCTGCTTGATTCTCATTTCCCCAGAATTCTGTGTGACTCAACATAGAATCCTGCTACAGTAGCCTTCAAGGCTCCTTCACAAAACCTGTCAGGGGTGCACCCTTCCTGCCATCGGAACTCAGCTGATATCCTGTCAATACAATTACAGGGAGAGACTGCTTGGTTTGCTCCACTGACAGCCTTGAATCTTCTGTCACCCCGGAGAGGCAGCCTATGTGCAGGGGTGGAATTTATGGAACTGAGCACCCTTACAAAGTGCAAATGATCATGGCACCCGATTTTTTCATAATTTATTACTGACTTTGTTTTTCTGTGGGGGATTATGTCACAAACAAGCAGTGCATACGTTTGTAAAATAGAGTCATAGAATCACAGCATTTGGGGCTAGAAGGAAGCATACAGATATCTAGTCCAACTCCTTTTTGGAGGATATTAAGACCCAGCAAGGGGAAGAGACTCACCCAAAGTGCTACCCTGACCTGGTGGCAGAGGTGGGAGGAAACCTAGGTCTCCTGACTCCCAGCCCCATGCTTTTTGGCCACAACACACGATTAATAAATTAATGACATCCCAGATTGGTTACATCCTGTATAGGAGGGCATCAAGAAATGCTCACAAATGAATCTGATTCCAATATCATTTCACCGTATGTTCCTTCCAAAGTAAGCTCTACTGATTTCTCAGGACTGGTCGACAGCCAAGAAATATTTATTGGATGCTGACTAAGAGCTCAGCACCATCCTAAGCTCTCTGGGGCCATAGAAACAAGTTTAGAACTCAGCCCTTGCCCACAAGGAGTTAACTATTTAGTGTTTAGCTGGGAAGATGCAGTATGTATGCATATTACTTAGCACAGCACCTACCTTAAAGAAAGCTCTTCAGGAAATGTTAGCTCTTATTGTTATACACACACACATATAATAAGACTGACAATGTCATGGGTTATGCCCTGTACGTTTTCATGTGAGCTGCACTGACCAGAAGGTTCAGATTTGGGAAGAGGGAGCCTTGGGCAAGACTTGGGAGGCTTTACAAAGGAACAGACCTGGAATTGGACCTTGAAGGGCAAAAAGCAGATTCAGATCAGGGGTGGGGAGATGGGAAAAAAACCGGCGCTCTGAGGCTGAACGATTCTGCCCTCCTTAGATCCTAAATGTTTGCAGATTTTTACCTCAACTCAAGTTCTAGCTTACGAGACTCAGCACCACTGCTGGGATCATTATCATGATCATCACGAGGAAGCATTTATTTAGAACCAGTGTGTTCAAACTGGATGCGCTACAAAATTAGGCAACCACACCATGCCCACTAATAGCTTAACATCTCCAATAAATATTGATGCCAGTGAACATAAATGCATAGATAGAGACAGACTCAAAGAAGGCAGGCAGACGAAACACCGTTGTACAAATGTCCCAGCTCGGGCTGGTATTTTTGTTATGTCTGCACACAATGCGAAAATGTTACATGAGCTTGTTAAGATAAGTGAACAGATATGATGTTGATGGAGGGGAGGGGGGAAAGGACAGGGGGGATGGAGGAATTGGTAAAGGGACACGAAAAGGACACGCTGGATATTGATAAATCAAAAAATTTAAAAAATAAATGAAAATGTCACATGAGCATTATCTGTTGAGAATATGCCTCTGATTGCTCAAAACCTTTTACATTCGATTACAACATAATGGGAGAAAATAAAACATTAGGAAATAAATTAAAAAGCAAGCTGCTTGGGCCGGCCCGGTGGCGCACTGCTATAGTGCGCCGCTTGGGAGTGTGGCGGCGCTCCCGCCAAGGGTTCGGATCCCACATACAGACCGGCCGCTCACTGGCTGAGCGAGGTGCGGATGCAACACCGAGGGTTGCGATCTCGTTGCCGGTCCCGGTCCGGTACGGGCGCGACACTGAGGGTTGCGATCCGTTGCCGGACATG